TAGTGAATAACTGTTAATCATGACTAATCGCGACTGTCACACTTGTAAAGGTAGAAGTTTTGTAACAAAAAAAGGTTTTTTTTGTTTGTGTGTTTTTTAAAAAGCTAAAGTGGATAGAGAGAAATACTTTTAACAGATGGTTTATGGGGCAGGGGGAGATTATAATCAATGTAATGAAACAAGTTATATGAATTGTTGAATGTGAAACTGATGATGTGCCCTGTAAACTTTCACTCAATCCACAATAAAAACCTTAAATAAATAAAAAAAAAAGAAATAGTGGCAGCAGAAGTGGAAGATGTTCTACTACATACATTGATAGACTTTTTGATTTTTGAGCCATGTGACTGTCTTACATATTCAAGATATTAAATAAATTAGCCAAATGAATTTATTTCCTAAGCATCTCATGATGATAGGAATAGCTCTCATTACTGAACTCTTAGTATGTAGCTGAGCTAACTATTGTATGTGCATTATCTTACTCAATCCTTACATCAACTGCATGTTGTTGTTGTTAAGTACTGTGGAGTCGGTTCCGATTCATAGTGACCCTGCAAAGGGTTTCCAAGGCTGCAAATTTTTACGGGAGCAGAAAGCCTCATCTTTCTCCTGAGGAACAGCTGGTAGTTTCGAACTGCCGACCTTGAGGTTAGCAGCCCGATTCATAATCATAACCAGTACCCTACCAGAGCTCCTTACATCAACTGCATGGGAGAGATGCAATTATCACTCCAAATTTATAGACAAGGAAAAACCAAGGATCAAAGGGATTTGTAACAAAAAAATTGCAAGATTACAAATTCAATCTGAGGTCATGTGCTTAACCACTGTACCACACTGTTCATCTATGTAACAGTTTTGATACTGATGCATGTATTAACTGATACAATGGAAAAATGCAGTTACCTGCTGCCCTTCTGTACCCTCCGCCGTAACCATAGCAACAGAGTGTGTTCCTGCTGAGGAGATGACTGCATCATGAGCAGGAACGGTGATGGGTGTGCCATCCTGTGTTACCATAGTGATGGTATTACCAATAGCTTGCATGTCAGCTTGAGATATATTGACCTGCAACATACAATTCATTTTACAAATCAATATTTCTTGTTATATTTGGCAATCTTTATCAATGACTGGGTCTAATCCTTATATAAATTTACTTTGTGGGAGCAAATAAGTCTTTTAGAATGAAGTAAACTCTTACAGGTCCTCAGAAAAATTGATCTGTCTTAAATGCATCTCCTCTTGTCCATTCCTACTGATAATTTTAGAACTTTATTTCTCTCTCATTTGAATTTCTGCAGTAATCCACCTGTCCTCCCATTATCTGGTCTAGTCCCCCAAAACCAATAGTTTACCATGCCAACTTTCTTAAACACACACACCCCCAAACAAATCTCATATTTCCTGCTTAAATCTTCATTGACTCCCTATTACCTAGAGTTCAGACTTCATGAATGTTTTGTTTGTTGTTTTTTTCCCCATGATCCGGCCTCCACCGATTTCTCCAGAGTCATTTTCCACTATTTCCAAACCAGCATTTGACATTCCAGCCGTAACCAGCCAACACAGAATATACGCTGTTAGAGCATCATGCCTTTGCCCTTCCCTCTACTCTTTGCTAGGTGGGTTCATGAAAATCCTTCAAACCAGGCATACTGGCCCAGACAGAAACAAGGGTAACCTCTATAACTACTGCCCTTAGTCACCTCATGCCTACTTCACTTCTGCGAACTCACCCCTGTAGCTCAACTTTCAAACAATAGACAGGCCTATAAGGCAAACAACACCAGGGCGGTGTGCTCCCCTTAGAACAATTAACTATTACAGGAGATCAAAACAGCAACATTGCCCAGGAATGAAGCTCTGGAGGTAGGAAGGGCTAGGAAAAAAGGACAACAGGAGACAGAAATGGGAAAAGTGCCGTTACATTGTGGGGATTACAATTAATGTCACAAAATAAAATGTGTATGAATTATTGAATGAAAAATCATTTGGCTTTGTAAACTTTCACCCAAATCACAAGAAAAAAAGAAAAGATCATCCTTTAAGACCCCACTGAATGGACATTCTCTTTAAGGGCCTCCAAGATTCCTTTAGTAAGAATTACTCCCTCCCCTGGGCTGCCACAGTACTTTATATACCCCTCAATTTTATACCTCTCGTTATGAGATATTATCATTCATTTTAGAAATTATCATTCTTACTAGACTGTAAAAGCCCCCCTCTTTATACCCTCCACTGACTTATATCTACCAAATATCTGGCATGAGGTAGATGCTTCAATAAATGCTTATTGGTTTGACTGACTAGATGGATAGGATAGAAATCTAATTCCTAAAGGAAATGGGCAGGTTAAGTTTAGAGAAAATATAACACTGAGATGGGGAAGACAGCTGTTTTAGAATACACGAAGAGGGATTAGACTCATTCTATATGGTCAGAGAGGAGTGATGTGTGCATGTCTGGTAAATACTAGAATGATCCAACAATGATACAGGCTCATTCTTTGGGGTACCTCAGCAGAGGCTGTTTCAGGATTGCTGTAAAGGAAAACTCCTGCACAGGGAGGGATGAGGTCAGATCAAACAACCTCCAGAGGGCAGCTATCTGTGATGATCTAATTCAAGAAAAAGCATTAGGGTTGATGCTGAATTAAAACTGAGGATTTTATGAGTGTAAGTAAAAAGTATTGCTATTTGGGTTCCAGTTCATACATGCCTGAACTTGTGCTTAAACATGTTTCTGCAATCAGTGGATGGCTATGGACAAGTTCTCTCAGTAATATATTTGCCTTAGTCCTATTGTTGTTGGTGGTGTCATGTGTCATAGAGTTGGTTCTGACTCATAGTGACCCTGTATAGGGTTTCCATGGCTATAAATCTTTATGGGAACTGAAAGCCTCATCTTTCTTCCAAGGAGCAGCTGGTAGATTCAAACTGCTGACCCTGTGGTTAGCAGCCCAACTTGTAACCCACTACCCTACCAGATCTCCTAGGGAGTCTTTGAAAAAGGATACTTTTTGTGCTATGGAAAGTGATTTCTGAAATTAAGGCTAATATTGCAACAAGTTTACAGGTATGCTGCTCTACATAAAACAAGTTTTTAGATGGGTTAAGTGTTTTAGGAAGGTCAAGTAGACCTCAAAGATGAGCCATGAGAAGGAAGACCATTAACCTCAATGAATGAAGAAACTGGCTAAACAACCTACAAAAATGAACAAACTGTAGCTGAAGTTCAGACACTGGTAGACAAACACCAGAGAATTAACCATTGATGTGATAGCTACTGAAATTGGGATCTCACACGGTTGTCCTTTTTAATTTTAAGGGAACATTTTGGCGTCAGTAAGCTTGTGGCTTATCTGGTATCAAAAGCATTGACAAAAATAAGCTAGCTCAAATCTTTCCATCAGTCTTTTAAGCATGGTTGGAATTAATGAACATGATTTTATGGAACAAATCACAGGCAGTGACAAGTCTTGGATTTACCAGTAAGATCCAGAGAGAAAGGTACAATTAAAACAGTGGCTTCCAAGGGATCTGGTGGGTCAGTTACATTCAAGGCAGAGGGGTCAGTTCAAAAGATTATGGCAGTGATGCCTGAGATGGAGGCAGAGGCGATAACATGGGAAGATGGAGCAGCTGGGTACTTGAGATCCAGAGAGAGAGAGGGATTGTGTGTTGACGACCGGGGGAGGGGCCAGGCTTGTAGGGTACACCCTTTGGTTGGTTGATGATAATGGAGGGGATTGTAACCATGCAATGAAATGATATTTACGATAGAATGAATGTAAAACTAATGTTCTCCCATGTAAACTATCACATAATTCACAATAAAATATTTATTTAAAAAAAAATTATGGTAACTGTTTTTCCGATTCCAAAAGAGTAATCTTGATAGATTTTCTCAAAGGACACAGGGTCATCAGAGAGCTTATTAGGAAGAAGTTTTAAGAAAAGTGAAAATTGTATCAGTGAGAAAAAGTCCAGAAAACTGTCCTAAGGAATTTTTTTCCATCACAACACACCTGCTCATTCTTCAAGGATAGCAAGGGCTATACTATGATAATTTTATTGGGAAACCTTACCATATTCCAACAGATTTGATGCTACCAGGATAAAACTGATCCCATGGACACTTCATTTAAGGTAGGCATTTTCCTAAACCAAGTGCAACCAATGATGAACAGTATGGGTGGGTCCCTGACGAAAATAGGATGCCATGCTGAAACTAGAGTATGAATGCATGAAGAGCTAGAAACGAATAAGAAACGATTCTAGGCCTAAAACTTATTTATATTTTATTGCTTTCTTACGTCTTAAACTAAAATAATTTTGATAATGAATGTCTTTGAAATCAACAAGTGTCACCAGAAGAAATTGTGTCATCTTAAAACAGGCCATTTTAGTTCATTCATTCATCATCACCTGACTTCCAAACCCTTCAAAAGTAGGATCCCATATAGCTATCATCACTGAAGTATAGCACAGCTGTCTGCATGCACTCTTCTATGACTTCTGAACTGATCATCATCATCATCTGACATTGGTAGTCTGCTGGCACACACTCCCAGTCTCTCTGAAGACATTGCTGTCAATGGTTTTTGGGGTCATTTTCCCACTTGCAGACTTCTATAAATGTTGCCTGCTTCAGGTAACCTTGTTGATGTGAACTCCTGAATGCTAGACTATATCCATTCATCGCATTTTCTCCTCTCCAAAAGTTTTGAACATCTAGTGGCTGTAGCTTGCAGGTAAGGCCACAAGGTATGACCGCTTTTTTAATTCAACTGTTGAGCCAAGAATGATTACATATCAATTTTGCTTTGTTTATTCCTCCAAATTAAAAGTCAGTGCAGATGAACTGAGATTCCTATTTGATATCTACTCGGTGCCACTTTTGTCAGTGCAGGCTGTTTTGTTTATGTTTCCAATTGATAGCTTGTGGTTTATGGGCAAGATTTAATAGGTTCAAGATTTTGACTTGAACCTATTAAATGTAATGTAATGTAATGTAAGAGATATAATTATCATCTTACATTACTAGAAACAAACACAGTTTTAAATTGTATATCTTATGATTATGAATTGCCATAGGCTAAATACTGGACTTTGACTCATAAGGTCAGTGGCTTTAGTCCACCAGCCACTCTATTGGAGAAAGATTAGTTTTTTTGCTCCTGCAAAGATTTACAAGCCTCGGAAACCCTATACCACCTGGATCTAATTAGTTACCAAATCCTATCCCCTTCCTAAGTTTCTCATATGGATTCATTATATTCTCTTCAACATCTCCACCTGAGCTACCCCAATAATACTCCCCCCACCCCATCATCTGACTTCTACAGAGTTATGTATGTTCTATCCTGACTTGCTGAGCACTGGGGTGCTAAATAACCACAAAGCCAGCAATTCAAATTCATCAGCTGCTCCAAGGGAGAAAATTGAGGCTGTCTGTTCCCAAAAAGATTTATAGTCTTAGAAATCTTATACAGGTTGCTAGGAGTCTGAGTGGACTCAGCGGCTGTGGGTTTAGGTGGCCTCTTGAGCATACTACTGAAAAATCTTTGGGGGATCTGCCACTATCTGCAGGCTAAAATCCAAACTGTGATCAGATGTTCAAGGCTTTCTGTAATTAAGACCTAACTTGCCTTTCAAGTTCAGTTCAGAGAAATATCTTTAACTTGTTTGGTTTTCGTTGAATACTTACATGCTGAGTCCCATCCTGAGATATGAGTGTAACTTGTTGACTTAACCCAGATTGGGTTACTGTGGCTACTTGTGCAGATACAACATCCTCTCCTTCGACACCTGTAACATATGTGATCTGGGGCCCTTTAAGAACATCTTCACCTTGACCTGTTTAAAGCAAATGAAATCATTTATTTGATCAACCAAACTGTTTAGAAAATAGATGGTATTTTAAATATTAAAGACAAAATTATACAAATTAAAATGCATATGTATTAAATTCTGAATCATGAAAATAGTTCCCAGCACCTCTAATTCACCTCTTCTTTTCCCCAGACAAATCAAATCTAAACAAACCAAACTTTGCCACCATCAAATTTAAGTGTTCTAGTTTTGGCAGACCTCTTTAGCTTTCTTAATTGGAGTGAGTGACTATGTGCTAAAGTGATGTGTTTTGAAGCCAGGGAGGGGAGGAACTGTACAGGAAGACTGTCAAGGATAAGTATGTAAGAAAGGTCATGCATTCATTTAAGGAGATGTTAAAAGTGATAATCTTCAAAAAACATTAACCACAAAAGCTGAACGGTTTGTAAATACAATCTATGGATACTAAACTTCTTAGTCTTTAAAACAATCAATTGCAAGTCATCAGTACACAATGACACCACTGTGCAAAGACAATGTAATGACATATTATCTGGGCAAGGTTAATCATTTAACAAGCAACAGAACAGAAACCTCTATCCACTTCTTTATTTTATAAAGAACTAGCAAGCAAACAGCAATTTCATAGTCCATTACTGCTATACTTATTAACCAATGTTACTGATCCCACCTTTCTTTCATCATTTCCTATCTCCCATGAAGCCAGAAGAGGAGAATTATGCTTTTTCTCTCTTTAATGAAGGGCTTAATCTGCTAACTCAAGAGTATTTCTCAAAACCACTGGCTGCTACATGCACCCTACCCTCCTTATGGCTATAGTCCCCATGGTGTAATTTCCATGATGATCATTACTTCATTTCTGTTTGTTTCCTTCCATAGCCATTTGGCTAGAACTCCTGGTGTGGCTCTGTAGAATAAGCACTGGACTGTGAACCACAAGGTCGGTGATTCAGTGGTTCAAACCCATCAGTTGCTCCTCAGAAACCCTATACAGGATCATATGAGTCAGAACCAACTTGATGGAACTTAACAATATTCTAATGCTTACAAATGCCAGGGGATCATGTGAAAGAAAAAGAACACAAATCTATCTCTTGTTATTCCTACTGGAAAAAAATCTTAGTTCAGCTTTTTTCTTTTTTTAAAATTAAAATGTATATTTTCTAAAACAACAAAATTCCTGACAATTAAAAAAAACATTTAAGGATGAGACTGAGCAAACTTAAAAAAGGGAAAATCTTAAAGTTTGTTTGGCATTGATTAAGTCCTACTTTCTAACTGAAAAGATCCAGAGGTTGTACTCAATCAAACATTTCCAATGTTTCTGACTAAAAATTAATATAGCACTCAAGATCAAAGGAACTATTTTCTTACTATCATATGATAAATCCCCAAAAAGGCAAATTAGGACTATTGTATAGAGAACCGTTTTGAATAGGCAGCGATCTGTTCATGCCTTTCTTCTCCAACCAACTTTTCATCTACATGACTTTCAAAGTTTCAATATCGGTTGCTAAAAGTGGAACAAGATTTTTTTTTACATTGTAAATTTCATTTAGGAAGTACTCAACAGAGCTGTAAGACAACCTGTTTGTTTTGAAACCTCTTTTAGCTATTGACTTTCTGTTCAAGAGGCTGAGTTATTTAACTGAAACCAAAGAATGCAATTCTCTTAAATACTTGTAAAAGTTTATTTCTATTGAAATGAATGTTTTTGACTATGACATTACTGATAGCATCTGAATCAACAGATTTATACGAGAGTGCTTCACAGCTCTCATGAAGACCAAGATACTTAACCCAGCTATAAAACACTGAATAGCCTAGCCTGGCTGGCCCCGATTTATTCTCTAGCCTCATTTCACACTTTTCCTGGCAGTTCCACTGCATTAGGTAGGTTTTTTTCAGTTTCTCCCATTTATTTGCTCCTTCAAACCTCACACTTTTTGCATTTGTCATTTCCTGTGTCTGGAAAGTTTTCTTACTTTTGTTCTCTCCTCCACATCCCCACACCTGTCTCTTTACCTAATCAACCTTATTCACCCTCTGGATCTATCCAAAAATCACTTCCTCAGGGTAGCGTTCTCTGACTTCCCAGTGTAAGTCAGTTTTCTTCTTATATTTGCCAGAACACACACAGCTTTCCTTGACAGCATTTATCACTAACGTCAAGTCTATGTTTGCATGATTATCTGATTACCGTAAGTTCCTCGAGGGTAGAGACAAGGTCTGCTTTACTCAGGTACAAAGGTGCTAAATATGTATTTTGGAGTGAATGAATAAAAGTGAGAAAAAGAAAAAAGGAAAACAGAATAAGGGAAGGAGGGAGAAAGAAAAGGTGAATGAAGAGTCAGCTGAAAGGATTGGCAGGATAAAGACTACATAACTAAGATTCTTAGGAGCAATTCAAAACTGTCAAAACACAGACCTTCCATTAAGGGTGATGGCATAATCTGGGAATGGGTAAGGATGACGGCAGAAGAACAGGATAAATATAACTAATGTTACTGAGCTGAGCTTGTGATGATTTCTGAAATGTCAAATATTTGATTGTTGTTGTTGTTGTTAAGTACCGTGGAGTCGGTTCCGACTCATAGTGACCCTGTACAGGGTTTCCAAGGCTGTACCACATTAAAAAAAGGCAGAGAGAGATAAAATGCAAAAACAGCATCTGAAAGTTGAAAGACCTGTTGAAGAATAAAACTTTATAAGTTGATAAAATACTGTGAATCCTAAACTGTGCTCATAACTGCTGATTCTCAAACAAAGAGAGAGAGACACACACTGGACAAGCTCTCACCTGGGGGAGGCTCAAAGAAGGCTTCCTGCTCCTCCTCAATGGGTTCTGTGTCATTGTGGGCAGTCCGCTTGTGCATGGCCAGTGTGGAGATCTGCTTGTATGTCTTCCCACAGTGGTTACAATTGTATGGTTTGGAGTGAGTATGAACGACATGGTGTTTATACAAACTGGAATACTCTGTAAACCTTTTGTCACACCCAGGAACTGTGCAAACATATGGCTTCTCCCCTAAGTAAAGAACACACAAACAAAACACAAAATAACTTTTACTTGTGAAAGCCAGAATCATTCCATATGTGAGGAGTTTGTGGGGAAAATTCCCTTACTTTTTAATTCAATTTTTCCACATACATTAACAAAAAAACCTTTTAATTGAGAATTGGGTAAAGGTTTACAGACAAGATCATTAGCTCTGAATTCAACATATCACACAGTTTCATCTCCATATTTACAATCCTCTCCACGCAACAATAATTATCTTGCTTCCTCCATCATTCCTGTTTACGTCCCTACCTTCCCATTCTTCTCAACTGTGTACTTGATTTTCAATGACTGACCATTCCATGGTGAGTATACCTTGCTAGTGTTGTTGTCTCCCTTATAAACCATCTATTGCTTGGCTAGAAATTGGGTGGGTGAGGGCCATAGTCTCAGGTTCCTAGGTTCCTTCAGTCTCTCTCTCTGAGCAGTAAATCCTGTTGTTTCTTTTCTGTTGTTGTTGTTTATATTAAATAATCTTGAGTTTCGTTCCACATTTTCTTCCATTCTATCAGGGACCCTCTAATGTGATCCCTTTCAGGGCAGTTGGAAGTGGTACTGTCAATTCTTCTGGTCTCAGAGTTCTGGAGACAGATGTTCACACGTTCCGTTAGTCCACTGAACTAAGGGATTCAAAGCCTATTCAATTCTTATCACTCTTCTTCCTGATGAACACTGACGGCCTTAGACAGCCACTGCACCTTAGACAACTACTCATGAGCTTTCAAGATTACAGACACTACTCACCCAAGCAGGATGCAGAACTTTGTGGACTATGTTATGCCAATTGACCATGGTGTCCCCTGAGATTATGGCCCTGAGTCCCCAGACCCATCAACTCATTGTCTTAAGATGTTTGATAGTATCTAGGGAGTCCTGGTGTGGTGCTGTAGGATAAACACTGGACTGTGAGATCAGTTTGAATTGCAAGGTCAGTGGTCTAAACTTACCAGCCATTCCTTGGAAACCCTATACAGGGTTGCTGTGAGTTAGAACCGACCTGACAGCACTCAACATTAAGGAAGTTTTCATCATTTTGCCTACTGTGTTTCACCATGTTCCTAATTTTGTGTTTTCATGAAAGGTAAATACTAATGCACAAATATCCTTTTTCAAACGCTTATGTATTTGTGGGATATATAAATATGTGTGGGATATATGAATGTATGAAGTTGTGGTGTGACACCATGGTATAAGCTTATATTGTTGTTGTTAGGTGCCATCAAGTCGGTACTGAACCATAGCGACCTTATGCACAGCAGAACGAAACACAGCCTGATCCTGGGCCAACCTCATTTATCATTGCCATGCTTGAGTCCATCAATGCTGCCATTTGGCCAATCCATCTTGTTGGGGGTCTTTTTCTTTTTATCTGACCCTCTACCTTACCACACGATATCTTTCTCCAGCAACTGGTCCCTCCTGACAATATGTCCGAAGTATAGAGATGAAATGTGGCCATCTTGGCCTCCAATGAGCATTCTGGCTTCACTTCTTCCAAAACAGAACTATTGGTTCTTTTGGCAGCTCACGGCACTTTCAATATTCTCCTCCAATACCATAACTCAAAAGCATCAATTCTTCTACGGTCTTCCTTATTCACTGTCCAGCTTTTGCACGCATATGAGGTTATTGAAAATACTGTGGCTTGGGTCAGGCACACCTTAGTCCTCAAGCCGACATCTTTGTTCTTCAACACTTTAAAAAGGTCTTGTGCAGCAGATTTGCCTAATGCAATATATCGTTTGATTTCTTGACTGCTGCTTCTGTGATGTATACAAATTTATAAATAAAATGAAGTCATGGTGTGGATAAGCACTTGACCACCAGGTCGGTGTAAACTGCAAGGTTGGAGAGTCAAGAGGACTGCTAACTGCAAGGTGGACAGTTCAAACCCACCAGCTACTCCATAGGAGAAAGATGAGGTTTTCTGCTCCTGTAAAGATTTACAATCTCAGAAACCCTATAATGGATCCTGTAAGTGGGAATCGACTTGACAGCAGTGGGTTTTGAGTTTGTATACCCCTGTCACCTTCTAATGGTAAAAGTAAATCATTTCCTTCCTGGAATGAGTTGGCACATAAGGCTTTCTAACTATGGTTTTGACTTGGATTAAAAGGTAATCTGCATCCTGAGTGTTGTTCCTGTGTATCCATCATCAATTTTCTCTTAATTTTAAGGAATGAGAAAAGAAAAGAGCTGTTGCTTAGTATAAGCTTTGATGAAACTGTTAATTTCTTATTTCACATAATATATATTGAACTATCATTAATAATATTATGCTAACAATGACAATCATAAATACAATGATTACTATAATGAGTGAGACTTAACCTATGGGTTTTAGGAGCATAGTCTCGGGTTTCCCCACTGCCTTTCTGACCAGGGTACCTGGTCTTTGTATATCCCATTTTAAGGTGGGTTTTTTTTTTTTTTTTTTGGCGTTGTGGGAGGTGGAGGTGGAGGGCATTTACTGTGTAATCTATTTGGTAATCAATGATTTCTTCTAGCCCATAACTACAGACCAACATCCACGATTGAAGGAACCCTGGTGACATAGTGGGTAAGCATTAGGCTGCTAACTGAAAGGTCAGTGATTTGAATCCACCAGCTCTTCTGTAAGAGAAAGATGTGGCAGTCTACTTCCACAAGATTTACAGAGTTGGAAACACTGTGGAGCAGTTCTACTCTATCCTATAGGGTTGTTATGAGTTGGAATCAACTCAATGGTATAGATTTTCGAGGGGATGTCTGTCTATAAGGAACCTTATTGGTGCAGTGGTTTACTTGCTAACTGAAAGGCCAGCAGTTTGAATCCATCCACTACTCTACGGAAGAACGATGTGGTAATTTGCTTTCATAAAGATTACAGCCTTGGAAATTCTATAGGGGTAGTTCTACTCTTTCCTACAGGGTAGTGACCTACAAGTCACTATGAGTTGAAATCAAATTGATGACAACAGTTTACTATTTCATCTAACCTATCAACCTATCTCTCATGCTAGACTCCTTCTGAACTCCCAGTGACTAGCTTGGTCACCAAGTCCTTGTCAATACCTCTTCATTGCCTTTCATGTGTAACCTTCTTCATCTCACGCCTCTCAAATATTCTATCAATCTTTTTATATTATTGTATTATTGTTTGAGTGATTCTCTAAAAACTAAAAATTTCCTTAAATCCTCTTAAAACTTCTCTTCTGCTCAAAGAAGAGTACTTGTTAATGTACTCTTTTTTAAAGAAAAGGGATGGCTGCAGGTCCCTGAAAATAATTCCAAGGGGAGACTTCTTCCATTCTGTAGAGATGTCTGCTCCTCTCCCTGTTCCCATAGCAGCTGCTTCATAAACTGGAAATGCTCTGCAGAAATTGTTTGTAACCTATTTCTTCCCTAGCTAGACAGCCCTTGGCAATAGTTTATTTGTCACTGTATTTCTCATTATTGGCAGACGATGCTCAATAAAGATTTGGGGAAAAAATGATGTATGAATACTAAGGAGAATTTTTTTAAGTTGCTCTGTTCTTCTCTACTGAGCCAAGTGGTAAGAAGGAAGGTAAGAGATTTGCTGGAAATGGTTAGAGAAAGAGGCAGGAGTTAAACAGAACCTTGAAAGATAGGAGAACACCACCAGAAATCAGAGACTGTTACCTGTATGTATCCGCACATGGTTTTTATAATTAGTTGCACTGGCAAACGCTCTCCCACATCCTGGTTCTGTGCAGTAATAAGGTCTTTCTCCTGTATGTGTCCTAATATGCACTTTTCTGATATTTGATGTTGTAAAGGATCGACCACAGCCTTCAAAGGGACATTTAAAGGGCCTTTCTCCTAAAAACACAAAGGGGAATAAATCAGATGAAAATCGAAATGTTAATCCTTCAATTCTGCCTAGGATTATGCCCAAGACTCTCTTTATTTTCAGCACATTTTTTTTTTAACCCACATTAACAGCACCTTCCACTCCAAACTTGTAAATTTACATGTTTTTATTAGGTGCCATCAAGTTGGTTCCAGATGATGCCCAGCTGCCTAGGAAACCCTGTAACAGGGTTGCTATGAGTCAGAAACAACTCCATGGCACACAACCACCATATACTTATCTACTACTTGGACGAAAATTAGGCCACCAGGGTGAGTTCTTTTCTAGACCTTAAGGGTGGTTGAGGACCATAGTCTCGGGTTCTCCCACTGCCTTTCTGACCAGGATACCTGGTCTTTTTATATACCATTTTGAGGTGTTTTTTTTTTTTACATTGTGGTACATAAGGGGTAGGTCTAGGCAAGGACTAGGGGTTCATTTAGTGTTATAGGGTTAAGGTTAGGATTAGTGTTAATGTGAGGGGTAGTGGTTGGGCTAAGGCTAGAAGTAAGACTTGGTCTAGGTTTTAGGTTTATAGCTAAACTTATTAAAAAAAATTTTTTTTTAAATCAATTTGATTTGCCCTTTATTTGGACATTCTGTAACACATTATTCCCTGTTTAACTGGTGTCTCTGGTTCTATTTTCAGTCTCCTAGATTTTACTTCTAATACTTCTAAATCTGGGTTGAGTTCTGGGCAATATTATCATGTATGTTAGTCTCAGGATGTTGTCTGCTGTTGTTGGTTCTCTGTCCAAAGAACCTCCTCTTTAGTATTTTTTTGTAACATTAGTCTGGTTTTTGCAAATTCTATTAATTTCTGTTTATCTGAAAATACACTAATTTGGCCATTGTACATAATAGACAATTTTGCTGGGTATAAAATGATTTTTGGCTGGCAATTTTTTCTTGCAGTTTTATATATGTCATCCCATTGTATTCTTGCTTGCATGGCTTCTGCTGACAAATTAGAGCTTAGTCTTATTAGTTCTCCTTTACAGATAATGTAAAGATAGCTCTCAGGATTTTTCCCTTGTTTTGAAAAGTTTGATTATAATATGTCTTGGTGATTTTATTTTGGGGTCTCTCCTCTTTGGAGTTCATTTCTTTTAACTTCTTGAAAGGCTATCTTCTCATCCTTCAGGATGTTAGGAAAGTTTTCTTTTAGAAACGCTTGGATAATTTTCTCTATGGTTTTATTTCTCTCTTCCTGTTCTGGAATAACAATTACTCATAAGTTATTCCTCTTGATAGTGTCCCACATAAAATCTTAGGCTTTTCAAATTATTTTTTTCTGATTGTTTCTCTTGATGGTGAGTATTGATAGATTTGCCTTAAAGCTCAGTGATTTGGCCTTTCATTGGTTCAACTCTACTTTGCCATTTTAATGTATTATCTTATTCTGAAGTCTTAGTACTAATCTTTTGGCTTTGTAATTGCTACTTTTGTATAGTTTCCAACTTTTCATTTATTTTGTTGGTTTGTTCTTGTATTATTTTCCTGAATTCTTCCTTGCTTTCATAATTCTCTCAATTCATTAAAGGTACCTAAATACTATTCTTTTAAATTCCAGATCAAGTAGATCTGTATGTGTGGGTGGTGGTGGTGAGGGGGGGTTGCCACTGGCAGCTGTGTTGGCAATGGCAGGACTGGCCACACCCTGGCTAATGGGAGGGCAAGAGAACAAGGAAGGACTGCACACACCTTGTTTTCCACCTATAGCTCAGCCCTGTGCTTGCAGGCTGCTCCATCTGCAGCTGCTTGCAAACACTCAAGATGGCTGTGCTGATCTATGCCAGCTGACAGCCCACCTATTTTTCATCTCTCTCACTGCTCCTGTCCAGCTTCCTCTTCCAATCAGAACTCAGTCCACCTCAGTTCTCTCAGTGTTCCAGGACCTTCTGTATCAATTTTACTTGTTCTCCCATGTCTTTCTTGCAAAGGATCTGTTGAGTGTGTCTGCCTCCTCCGCCAACTTGTCCCAACTGTATAGTTTTTAGTTTTTTCCACGTTTCCTTCCATTCTATCCAGGACCTTCTAATGTGATCCCTTTAATAAGAGCTGATAGTGGTAGCCTGGCATCATCTAGTTCTTCTGGTTTCTGAGTTGTGGAGATTGATGTTTACATGTTCCATTAGTCCACTGGATTTGGTTATAATTTTTTTTTAACTTTTTATTGTGAATTGAGTGAAAGTTTACAGAGCAGATCATCAGTTTTACATTAAAAAGAAAATCATATAATTTGCTTCATTACATAATTGCAATCCCCTCTATATGCACTAACAGTTTAAAACAGTTAGTCTATTCACTATTGCTTTCCTCCCTGTGTCTCTCGCTACCGTCATCTTTTCTCTGCTAATCTCCCTCTTGTTGTCACCCATGTTAATATGTGTCTAGCCTTTAGCCCATGAATAATTTTCCCTGCCCTACAACTATAACCATCATAGATTATCGAGAAAACCTGTTTTTTTAAAAATAGAACAAAAACTTTTTGCAACACTGGTTTCATACAATGTTTGTCCTTTTGTGATTGACTAATTTCATTCAGCAAAATGCCCTCCAGGTTCAACCATGTTGTGAGGTGTTTCACATTCATCACTTTCTTCAATGCTTAGTAGTATTCCATTGTGTGTACATAAGTTTGTTTAGCCATTTTTCTGTTGATGTGCATTTAGGCTGTCTCTATCTTTTTGATCTGTCTCTTGTAGTCAGCATATTGAAGGATCCTGTTTTCTTATTGATTCTATTGTTTATGTCTCTTTACTAGAACATTCAATCCACTTGTATTCAGTATGGTTATCTAATAGGTATTGATTATTGTCATTTTTTTGCTTGTGTATTTTTTTGTGGTGCTGCTGGTTTCTTTGTTCCACATAATTTTCTATGCTGAGTTCATTTTGTTTGTGGGTTTTCTTGTCATTTTTATTTTAATGTTTACTAGATTTTTCTGATTTTCCTCTTTATTTTGATGTGCAGGTGTACTACTTTTCTTTGAGGTTATTAATTTTTTCCTGCTAAAAACAATTTGTTTTATCTTGAATCTACTTGACTTCTACGCCATTTGGAAGTTCTGTATCTACACTATTCCCTCTTTTTGCTTTGTAGTTGGCTTCATTATACAATGTTATCTCTGATTCACTATTTTCAGTCTTGTAGGTTTATTTTACGTTAAATCCTTCTATATCTGCATTAAGTTCTGGGTGTTATTGTCATGTGTGGTAATCTCAGATTGTTGTGTGCTCTTGTTGGTTCTCAGTCAAAAGAACACTCTTTATCCATTTGTGTAAAGTTGGTCTGGTCATTACAAATTCCTTTTAATTTCCTGTTTACCAAGAAGTGTCCTATTTTCATCATTGTATTTGATAGAAAACCTTTTTCTTTCAGAATTTTGTATATGTTATTCCATTGCTTTATTGCCTCCATGGTTTCTGCTAAGAAATCAGAGCTTAGTCTTACTGGTTTCTCCTTTGTAGGTAACTTTTCATTTTTGTCCAAGCTGCTCTCAGGATTCTTTCCTTGTCTTTGATTTTAGAAAGTTAGATTATGGTGTCTTGGTGATTTTCTTTTGGGATCTACTCTGTTTGGGTTTTGTTCAGTTTCTTGTATCCTTATCTTCTCAGCTTTCATGATGTTAGGGAAGTTTTCTTGCAACAACTCTTGAACAATTTTCTCTATGCTTGTCTCTTTCTGTTCTGGAATTCCGATCACCCATAAGTTGTTCCTCTTTGTGGTGCCCCACATAACTCTTTTAAGATTTTCTTCGGAGGTTTTTATTCTTTTTTTCTGACTGTTCTTCTGGCATACTAGTACTGAGTGATTTATCTTTAAGCTCATTAATTCAGACTTCCATTGCTTCACATCTACTCCTTTTCCCTTTTAATGTATTGTCCATTTCTGAGAGCTTAGTATTAATCTTCTGAATTTCTAATGGCAGGTTTTGGATTGTTTCAAAATTTGCATTTACTTTGTCTGTTTGTTCTTGTCGTATTTTGCTGAATTCTTCTAAAGTTCTTGTTGTGTTCTCTTGCTTTCTTCTATCTTTCTACCAATCCTTTTGAAGGTAACTAATTAGCGTTCTTTTGAATTCTTTTTCAGTTGGTTCTATTACCTTTTCTTCCTCAGAATTGTTTTCTGACTCTTCATCTTGATCATTTGTTTGAGCCATTCTCTCATTTCTTTGTGTGAGCTAAAACTGTTGTCTCCAGGGCATTGTGGGGTTGTCGTAATTGTAAAAACAAACAGTGCAACTGCTGAACCTGGAAAGAAGAAATCTCTGGTGGTCTCCTACAATTGAAGGATGTCACAAGGTGGCTGTGAAAGGATGTGACAGTAGAATTCCTGGCCCTAAACAGAGTTTCTCCAGGCCTAGGTGTTATGTATATTCAAGACACTCAATCAGGAAACAGTTCATGGAGACTCTTGATAAAGCTGGTTTCAGTGACCACATGGAAGCTGGGGCCAACATGACTAGTTAAATGTGTGACTGGTTAAATTACGTACAATTTCTCTGCAGATTTCTCTGGAGCCAAGCCCACCTGGATCCAGGCACCAAAGTGGCACACCAAAGCAGTGTAGCAAGCCCCCATCTCACACTGGCGCAGCTCCCAAGCATAGGGCTCTGAACTTCTAAGAGCAGGGTCTAGCCTGGGGGTTGATGAGGGTAGGATCTGGCCATACTTCTGGTTACCAAGGGAGCGTGTCACCCACGTGACTCTGTTTTGCCAGGCCTCTCTCCACTGCCAAAGCTGCTCAATGGTGGAGCTATACCTGGCCAGCCATTCGGCAGTCAGTTTCCCTCTCTGGCTGCCCTGCTCAGTCTCTCTTCCCAGCAAGAACTCTTCCCACATCTCTAACATTTCTTCTAAAGTTCAGGGGGTCAGAATTTTCATCTGTGTTTAGTTTTGTCTCTCATATCCTTGTTGTAGAGGGTCTGTGTTGTGTATCTGCCTACTCTGCCATCTTGCCAGAATCCTCTCAATACAAAATTACTTTTTTTGTTAAGTGCTGCCATGTTGATTCCAATTTATAGTGATCTTTTATAGGGTTTCTGGGTTTAAACATTTTGCTGGGAGCAGAAAGCCTCATATTTCTACTGAGGAGAAACTGGTGGGCTGGAACCACTGGCCTTGTGATTTTCAGTCCAGTGCTTATCACATGGAGCTACCATGCTTCCTAATCCAACACTATACCAGTGAAAGTATTTATGACTTAAAAACAGATATATGAACATGTGGTTTGCTTAGTGATAACTATGGAATCACAATTCTGATTCTGACTCACAGTGACCATATATACAACATAATGAAACAATGCATGGTCCTGCATCATCCTCACGATTATTATGTTTGAACCCACTGTTGTTGCCAGTGTCAAATCATCTCATTCAGGGTCTTCCTTTTTTTCACTAATACTCCATTTACCAAGCATAATATCCTCCTGGTACTAGTCCTTTCTGACAACATGTCCAAAGTACAAGAGACAAAACCCTCGCCAAGGAGCAATCTGGCTGTACTTTTTGCAAAACAGATTTATTGGTTCTGCAAATCCATGGTATACTGAAATGCATTAATTCTTATCTGGTCTTCCTTATTCATTGCTCAGCTTTCATATGCATATGAGACAACTGAAAATACTACGGTTTCAGTCAGGCATACCTTAGTCATCAAACTGACATCTTTGCTCTTGAACACTTTAAAGAAGTTTTTTGTAGCATATTTACCTAATGCAATCCATTGCCTGATTTCTTTGCTGCTTTCATGAGTGTTGATTTTGGAACCCAGTGAAATGAAATCCTAGACAATTTCAACATATTCTTTGTTTATCGTGATATTATTTACTGGTCCAGTTGTGAGAATTTTTGTTTTCTTTACATTGAGGTGCAACTCAAACTGAAGGTCTTTGATCTTCATCAGTAAGTACTTCAAGTCCTCTTTGCTTCCAGCAAGCAAGGTTGCATCATCTGCATATTTTAAGTTGTAAATGAGTCTTCCTCCAATCCTGATGCCACATCCTTCACACAATCCAGGTTTTCAGATTATTTGCATAGCATACAGACTGAATAAGTATGGTGAAAAGATAAAACCTTCACATGCACCTTCCTGATTTTAAACCAGTCAGTGTCCCCTTGTCTTAACAACAGCCTTCCGGTCTATATACAGGGTCCTCATGAGCACAATTAAGTGTTCTGGAATTCCCATTGTTTACATTGTTATTCATTGCTTGTTATGACCCACACAGTCGAATGCATCTGCATAGTTAATAAAGCACTAGTAAATATTTTTCTGGTATTCTCTGCTTTAAGCTAAGATCCACCTGATGCCAGCAATGACATAGCTAGTTCTACTTGACAGTAATGATACTGTTCAAAGATTTCTGCATTATGTTGGGTCACCTTTCTTTGGAATGGGTACAAGTATGAATGTCTTCCAATCATTTGGCCAGATGGTTGTCATCCAAATTTCCTGACATAGATGAGTGAGCATATCTAGTGCTGCATTAGTTTTGATGAAACATTTAAATTTGTAATCCACAAATTCCTAGAACCTTGTTTTTCACTAATGCCTTCAGTGCAGCTTGGATTTCTTTCAATACCATTGGTTCTTGATCATATGCTACCTCTTGAAATGAATGAACATCAATCAATTCTTTTCGTACAGTGACTATGTATTCCTTTCACCTTCTTTTGATGTTTTTCATTTCATTCAAGATTCTGTGTCCATAAAATCTTTTAGTATTGTAACAACCCAAGGCTTGAAATTTTTGTTTAGCTCTTTCAGCTTGAGAGATGCTGTTTTGACCACTGTGGCTGTATAGTAGATTTTGAGATCAGGGAGTGAAAAGTCACCTACTTTGTTTTTCTTCTTAAGCAACGCTTTACTTATCCAGGGTCTCTTTCCTTTCCATAATAAAGCTAGTGATTTACAACAGTATATCTTATCAACAGTTTCTCTGAAATTCTTCTAGCTCAGAACCAAGTAAATAATTACTTTGCTAATACCAATTCCATTGTAATCAAATGAGGTAAGAGAAAGGGGAGGAAAAGATGGGAAAGGGAGAGAAGGAAAATTAAAGGAGAGAAGGGGTGATCACAAAGAAGTAACAAATCTTTATTTCTGTGGAATTTTCAGGGGTTCAGATACCTTCTGTAGCAATAGCCTGATATAGGAGCAGCAATACTAAACTGAGAAGGTTCAGGGTGCCTTAAGTTCTGGTCTTAGTTCATCTCCTATTTACATGTGTAATCCTAGGCAAGTAACCTTTTTGCTCAAATACTCGAGAGAGTTGAAGGTATAGAGCCATTGTTACTGCCCTTTTTGGGATGGGTTCTTTGAAGGATCTAACAAAACCAAATCCTCACTATAGAAAGCATACGTGCACACACAGCAAAGAGCATGGCATTTCTTAAACTCCTCAAGTTTAAGAAATACTGCTGATGCTGACTTTCACAAATCTTTCCAGACTCTCTAAGTCCTTTTCCTCTAAATTAAGACATCCTGGTTCACACCAGTACCTGTATGAGTTCGGATATGTTTCTGGAGATCTCCTGAAGTTTTGAAAGATTTAGTACAATTGTCTTCTGAACACCGATATGGCTTTTCTCCTGTATGAGTTCTGAAATGACTTTTTAATCCGTAACCTTTAAGAAAATATACAACAAATTTAATTCTACTTAATTCACTCCTGTAAACATGCACATTCAGATTAAGGTATTGAAAAATAAAGTACACACCAACAATAATAGTAACAGGCAAACAACAGAGTACTATAGACATCGCTAATAATTCACGGAAGAACTGAGAAAGCTTAAAGTAGAATTACAGAATAAGTAAGGGAATGGAAGTTAGGACACCTTGTTTAACCAGTATAACCCTGTTGGATGTTGTCACTGGGCAGGCTAAGTCCAAGTTTTCTATGGTTCCCTAAAATCTTTTGCTGAGAAAGCAAAGTATGAAGGGAAAAGCACCAAACAAAGTATGCAGAAATAGGTCAGAGTTGAAAAATGAGCATAGAGAAAAGACGGTTAGAGTCAGCAGGACAAGAGGCAAATCAAGGGGAAGACTGAAAAGCTGACAACGTACTTCTGCTGAGTCACACAAAGTCAGGGTCAGTTCCTGCCTCTGGCCAGTCTCCACTCAACCTCAGGAAGAACCAAGAAACAAAGAGAATTAAAGCTTTTACCTGTTGCAAATGCTTTTCCACAGCCAGAATGCTCACACTGATAGGGCCGGTCTCCTGTGTGTGACCTCTCATGGACCTGTTATTAGAACATAGGCATGATTCTAGTGTCTTTAGGTATCCCTCAGACAGATGTTTCAAGTAATTATTTTGTTGTTTGTATGTTGCTTTAAAAAAAAACCAAAACCTTTTCACAAAAACCATAGCCCCGTAATTCCCGATATAAATCTAAATTTTATATATTAAAAAATATTTTACATAAGGACAAAGACATGTGAGGTTTGCATTTTTCTGAAGTGGTAAAAATGTACAAGATGAGAAGCAGAAGCAGAGAGTTTAGGGAGAAGCTATACAGGATGGGGCTAAAAGCATGGAGGTTGCTGTAAAAGGGGACTAGATGCTAGGCATTGCTCAACTACTAACATGCATGTGGCCCTGAGCACCTACCTTCTCTAAGTTTCAAAATCTGCTCTATAAAGTGGGAACATAAGAGTATCTACTTTAGAGAGCTGTTATGAGAAATGAATGATAATGACAACGGACAGCACTTACAGGTCATGTTTTCAGGACTTTACACATACAGTACTAACTTACTTTACCCTCACAACAATCTTATGAGGAAAGTACTTTCATCCTCGCATTTTACAGACGAGGAAAATGAGGCAACAAGAGATCAAATAACATATCAAGTTCACACACAAGTAAGTAGTAGAGGTGAATTGGCTCTAACACCATGACTCCAAATAGGGTAAATGCATACTTCCTGACACATTGTAAGATCTGAAGTTAATAAAGCCAACTATTACAAATATGAGTTATGCCACATTTAATTGTAATAAAAACAAAAATACTTGACACAAATATTTGAAATACAGGACAACTAACACTAACCTTTTCTGAATTCTAGTGAGTCACTCACTGAGTGATTTCACACACATCTCTCATATAATTATATAATTTCTCATTTGACACACAAAAATTGTATTCAAACATATAAAGTAGCTACTATTATGTGTCAGAAGCCCTAGTAACATAGTGGATTTAAGCACTGGGCTGCTAACCACAAGGTTAGCATTTCTAACCTTCCATCTTTTCAGTAAGAAATAGATGTGGCAGTCTGCCTTTGTAAACATTTACAGCCTTGGAAACCCCATTGGGCAGCTCTACAGGACTGCTATGAGTTGGAATCTACTTAAGTTGGCAAAGGATTTGTTTTTCTTTTTGTAGCTCATGTCAGGTAATATGCTAGACCTTGGGATATAGGGGTGAAGAAAATACTGCCCAAACCTTAAAGAGTTTACAATTTCTAAAGTCTATATAAAGAGCCCAGTGATGCAATGGAATCCTGGTGTGGCGTGGTAGGGTAAGCATCAGACCATAAGGTCAATTTAAAACATAACGCTGGCAGTTCGAACTCACCAGCCACTCCTTGGAAACTCTATACAGGGTTGCTATGAGTCGAACTGACTCGAAGGCACTTAACAAGTGACACAATGGACTCCTGGTGCGGTGCTGTAGGATCAGCACTGGACTGTGAACCAAAAGACCGATGGTTCAAACCCACCAGCTGCTCCTCAAAAACTCTGCACAGGGTTGCTATGAGTCAGAATCAACTTGACGGCACTTAACAACAGTGAACAACGGGTTAAGTCCTGGGCTGCTAACTGAAAGACCAGCAGTTTGAACCCACCAGCAGCTTGGCTCTGCAGGAGAAAAGACTTGGCAATCTGCTCCTTTGAAGATTACAGTTAGGAAAACCTACTCTGTTCCACAGGCTGTGATTTAACTTGATGGCACACAACAAAACAAAGTCTGCACAGGCTTCTGTGTGACTGTATGTGTGTGAGTGTGAGTATGTATCGATATTGTGGCAAGTGTGATTAGAGTACTTAAGATTTTTCATTATGGAGATTTTGCAGTGGAGTTTGAATGCCACAGTATAATGCCCTAGGTATTTTCATAACTAGATACAGTACTTCATTTATAAATACCTTAAGATGATGAGCTGTTGTATATAATTTTCCACACCCATCATATTCACATCGAAATGCTTTCTCTCCACTCTGTTGAGATTTAGCAGTTACTCTTGTTGCATGTCCTTGTAAGACAATCTAGATAAAACAAAAGTACTGTTAATATTTACTTATACAGAAATAAAATAGGTGAAACTACTATTTTCAGAACATAAAGAGATAAGGCTACAATGTGGTTTGTCAGGCTCAGCACCTGACTTTACTAATATTCTATCATTCTAAGTAATGTCTGGGGTCTTAAAAGCTTGCAAGTAGTCTACAGTCATATGACCTTGAATGCACCTGACCTTGTCTCATCCTGGAAGTTAAGTAAGGTTAAGCCTGGTTAGTATCTGGATGAGAAAAGCTGTGAGAGGCCAGGTCTCCACCCGCCAGGAGCAAAACTGTAAGAGGGTAACCAAAAGAACAGAAAACAAGTATACATGAGTCACAACCTCTGAGACTAGAAGAACTAGATGATGCCCAGTTACCACCACTGACTGTTCTGACCAGGGTCACAACAGTCGGTCCTGGATAGAATAGGAGAAAAGTACTGAGAGAACACAAACTCAATAATCTGTGGGAAGCTTTTTTCTATTGTAAAAATTTCAAAATAATGGGGCAAAGATCATGACTGAAGAGCTATTTACTAAAGATACTACAGGGTGAAAGAGAAATCTGAAAATAAAAGGCATAACAAAATTAAGCAAATGATCCTGATGGTTTGTTTTCTGAAGAGCTATTAAAATGTCTTTGATTTCTGTTAGAGAGATTCTGCCACACTCTCAGCACTTGTGGCTCAATAAGAATATTTTGATAAATCAAAATTTTATAAATGTATTTTTAATTGCCTGATGCTTTTAATCCCTTATTCTTAAGAAAATGAAGATACTTAAACAGAATTTGATCTCTAGTACAAGAACTAATAAAATTTATTTTTATATAGGAAGTTTAAAAATAATGTGTTTTCCCCTCAGTTTCAAGTAAACCCAGATTTTAAGTCTGGTCAAAATTATGACTTAACATATATTTACTTTATTTATATGATACGTTTATATAAAACACAAATTATTTAGGTAGACACACTTTAAACACTAAAATAAAACTATCTAATCTCTGGGAATGGGTCAGGTCTTCACCACACAAAGTAATTATGTACTACAGAAAAACAGATACTTAAATGGTAATGGACGAGTTCAGAGACTATAATGAAGTTGGGGGGATTGAGAGGCATCCACCATTGGGATTATAGTAGTATTGAAGATGAGAGTTCAGCATGTCCAACATGGACACTAGTGTCTATACAGAATCTGTCTTATGTTTTTCCTCCCAATTTTTAATATACTTAAACACAAGCAGCACATCTCAATGTAATCATTAAATTTTAAGCCATTTAGTCATGCTCATGTACTGTAATGGTATCCATCAAGTTTTCAGACACAGTTTTCTAAATAAAGTGATGTTTAAAAAGCTAACTAAAGCCTGCACAATTCCATGGCCCATGAGAAATGCTTATGGATCGAGAAATTACAATATCAAAGAATGATATAATTCCATGTGATTTCCCTATTTCCATGAGTCCTTCTCTCATCATTCCAGACAGAGCTGGTCTTCAATTTCTCAGGAGCCCTGTGATATCTAGATTATGTCAGCAGCATGGCACTTAAGCCAACTGCCTCACAGATACTTGTATTTCCTTTTCTCCCTATTAGACTCACAGCTCCTGGAAGTCAAGGACTGTGTCTTATATGCTTTTATACTGCACAGTGCTAGGTACACACCAAAAATGCCACAAAATTTATAAAATAATACCATGAAAATATATGAGCCATACAAAAATGAAATTTTGGGGGATGCTAATAAAAAATTTCTATGTAGAAACTTGCTAACTTGAGTAACAGGGAAGGCAGCTAAAAAGAAAAAAAAAAAGGAGATTTCTTTTTCCCCCAATATATTTCCCCCAATGTATATAAATATATACATTGAAAAACAATGTATATTTACTTTTTCATTAGGACAAACCATTGGGAAATTTCCTGCAAAAGAAAAAAAGGTAGGGAGAGAAAAAAAAAAAGGGAGACGGGGAGAAAAAATTGTAAAATGAGATTATGATGGTGGTTATGCTACTGTGAGTACACTGGAAACCACTGAGTGTATGTATACTCTAATCAGGTACGTTTTCTGAAATATATTCCAATAATGCTACTAAAAAGGAAATAAAATAATTGGAATAAGAGCATTTTTATTGATTTCTTAAGAATCAGAAGAACCTTTAAGAAAATTCTTTTTAAATTAAGAAAATTATTATTAATTTTATAATAGTATTATAAATCATACTTTGTTAATAATAATAAAATGCATATAATAGCAATCTTTTATAATAATATTATAACAGTAATACATATACATTAGAGGAATTTGGCTGTAACAGCAAAGAATAAAGAGAAAAAGTTATTAAAGTCAGCTACAATTCCACCATCCAGAGAAAACTATTGTTAATGTCTTGGTGTATTTGCATTTCCAGCATTTTTACATATACATATATCGGGGCTTCCAAAAATTTCAAGGGGGGAAATGGAATTGAAAGATAATGGCATTTTCCCACAACCTTTTTGAATATTCCTCATTTTAATGCATAGGGTTTAATTTTAGCAAAACTGGAATTCAGCTTTAAATAAATTCTAACAGCAGATTTAAAGTGAAAATGACCCTCAAGTCAAAAGAGAAGCATTCCTCTTCCTAGTCTATGGAAGCACTATGGAAGTGAGTGTGCTCACCACATCCCTATGGAGCCCTGGTGGCGTAGGAGGTTTAGCACGTTGCGCTGCTAAATGCACGGTCAGCAGTTCGAATCCACCAGTCAGTCACTCTGAAGGAGAAAGATGAAGTCTTCTATTCCCATAAAGATTTACAGCCTCAGAAACTCTGTTCTGGGTCTATGTGCATTGGAACCAACTCCATGGCATATCACCACCATCTCCCTAGGTCTGACAATTAAATCCAACAGCTCATGCCTTCGGGCCAGGTGTTACTGTTGTGTGTCCTCCTGTCAACTTCAAAGCATAGCTCACTATATGAAATAGCAGAACTGCCCCATACTGGTGTGATACTGTAGGACAAATTATTGTTGTTGCTGTAGTGCCGTTGAGTTGGTTCCGACTCATACCGACCCGTATAGCATTTCCAAGGAGTGGCTGGTGAGCTTGAACAGGCGACCTTGCGGTTCAAACCAATCTTGCAGTCCAGTGCATTAACCCACAGTGCCACACCAGGATAGGATAAGTACTGGACTGCTAAATCACAAGGTCAGTACTTCAAATCCACCAGACGCTCCTCCAAAACCGTATAGAGGGTTGTTCGTTGAGTCGGAATCACCTGGCAAGCATTTAACAACAATCTTCATGGAAAGCAACCCTGATGGCACACTGGTTATAGTGGTTCAAACCTACCAGCTGCTTCTCAAGAAAAAGATGAGGCAGCATGGTTCTGTAGATTTATAGGGTTGGAAACCCTAATGAGCAGTTCTACCCTACCCTACAGAATCTCTATGAGTCAGACGCAATGGGTTTTGTGAATCTTTACTGAAGCAGATCAGGTACTCAGACTTACACCCACTGTTGACTCACAGTGACCCTATACAGGGTTTCTGAGACTATAAATCTTTATGGCAACAGATAGCCTCATTTTTCTCCAGTGGAGCAGCTGATGGGTTTGAACTGCCGTCCAACTGGTTAGTAGCCTCATGTCTAACCCACAGTACCACCAGGATGACTTTTACGATCAGGTGGCAGCAGCAAAGTATCCTGGAGGGGCCCACACCTGAATCTTCTCTGTTGCTGTGTTGCTACTGCCTAGGCTCTAAAAGTATCAATTATATCAGAAGCTTCAATTCTGGTATGAAATATATATTGAGAGTTTGAGCATCTAATTTAATGAAGCAAAACAATATTGAAATTTCTACCCTGTGATAAGAATTGACAAATTTTTTAATATGTACTTTGTAGCTGTTTTCTGCTCTTGTTCTAATGTCTACAATGAATGTTTTAAGAATTCAGGGTGGTAACCTAAGGGTCAGAAGCTCCAGTTTAGGACGTACTCTTGAGGCTTCTGAAGGGATCCTGGTGGAACACTGATTTAAGCATTGGGCTGCTAACTACAAGATTGATGGTTCAAACCTACCAGTTGCTCAACAGGCAATAAAAAAAAACTTTCTGCTCCCCATAAAGATGTATAGCTTCAGAAACCCTATGGAGCACTTCTACTCTGCCTTACAGGGTCACTATAAGTTGGAATCAATTCAACAACAGTGGGTTAGGGAGGGTGAGGGAGAGTGGGGGTCTGGTTTAAAATTTAAGCTGAGTCCACAAATTCTCCTGCTCTGCAATTTGTCCTACGAAATACAGGGAAATCTTGAGTTGGTTGTGGGTGGCAAACATGAAGAAACATGGACAAATTCAATGAAGATTCAGAGGAAGCCTGTCTATCAAGAAAACAAGTGAGTAAATATGGAAGAGGCATGTTAAGTAAGACTGCTGAGGCGATATGGGAGGAGAAAAAAAGCGGAGACCAGACTCCTTTCCTGACTCCTCTGCAATTCTAGTTCCTGTCAAGCCCAGCTGTTCAGCAGTTCTGTTCTTGGATTCCTACAGATTTGCTGTATCCTTTATAAAACATCTCTTTTCTGGAGCTTAGCTTGTCTAGTTGTCTGTGCTTTCCAACAATTACAGCCCTGATTAAACCTCTGCCAAACCAAAGAACTCTGATCTCTCATGTACATGGAATTAGCTTTTAAATTAGTCAAGTCTTTAAAAAAACATAAAGACATATCTGGAATACTAACAGAGCAAAGTATGTGAAGCATCAACAGTGATTAGCATCTGTATGTTGTTGTTAAGTGCTGTTGAGTGGGTTCTGACTCATGGATAGATAGCAATAGAATTTTTACATTTTATTCAGTAATTCTGAATTTCTGGTCATGTTTCTGGGTTCAGAAATTAATTTTTACATTTTAATAGCATTTTCTAATTATTGTTGTTGTTGTTGTTGTTAAGTGCCGTCAAGTCAATTCCGACCCATAGCAACCCTGTATAAGATTTCCGAGGAGCAGCTGGTGAGCTTGAACCGCCAACCTTGCAGTTCAAATGACTTCACAGTCTGACGCATTAGTAGTATATCACAATGTTACACAGCCCATTGGTAAAGTCACTCATTATTTTTTTTTTTGGCAAGACCCATTCTATATTAGTTTATTACAAATGTAGTTACAGCTGCCTTTCTTTAAAAATATATCCTTACATTGATGTTGTTAAGCGCTGTCAAGTCAGTTCCAACTCATAGCAACCATGTATAGGGTTTCTGAGGTTTTAAATCTTTGTGAGAGCAGAAAAACCTCACTTTCTTCCGAGCAGCAGACAAGGGACTTGAACTGCTGACCTTGTGGTTTACAGTCCAGTGCTTACCCTACAGAGCCCACCACACAGACAACTAAATGGACATTCACACAAACTAATGCAGGCCAAGTGTGGGGTAGCTTGAGAGTGAGAAATTCCTAGGGCCCCAGCCACAGGGACCCCCACACACATACATGGGGTTTTACCTCCAGGAAGCTCACCAGCTCTCTACCATAAAGAACCTAGAACAAGCCCTTCCTTACATAGTACATGAAACTGCTATGTAGCAGTGCTTGCAGACATCAAGTTTCTACCAGGGATTCTTGTTATTTTATCATTTACTACTAATATATGTACTTTATTGATAACCCCTACTAGTTTAACTCAATTGTCATTAACTGGTGATGTCAATGCTCAAGTTGAAAAATGTATGCAAAGTATTAACTTTAGAATGGAATTACATATGATAAAACTGTCTGAAGAATGCAAGAGGAAGCAGTCAGTAAAATTGTTGAGAAAATAAAGAGCAGCAAGCATTAAATTAAGAACATATTAAAATGATTATGTAAGTTCCATGAATAGCCCACTTCCCCCCAAAACACTGAAATCAGTCTTAAATTACACAATTTTTGAATTATGGGATATCTATGAGGATGCATTTGGGACTTCTTTGTAATTACTGCACAACTTTTAGGCACTGCTGCTGTAAGTCATTACCTGGATAAAAGGTAGCCAATGATTGCACCCAGGGTGAACATTTAAATCAAGGGCAGCTAACTCATAGGCTATCTGCAGCCCAGGAAGCAGGTAAAGAAAAAAAAAAGGTACAAAAACTCTGTCCAGTATAAATAACAACAATTAGCTAGGCTGGATCTGTCCTCCAGAATTTGAACAGGAAAATATAGAGGGAATATAGAGTAAGAAGCAGAAGAAATGAAAATTATAAAAAGTAGTTAAAAAAAAAAAAAAAAGAAAGCACAGTAGCAGGGAGGTTAATCACTGTAATGCCCAAGCCCCAGAAAAAGAAGCCATAACCTGCCATGGGTAGGAATGGTCAGAAGATCATGTGGACCAAGGAAACCAGGGTTTACCTGGATTTCTGTGACATTTCTATTTCCTTTAGTGCCACTTTCATCCATACAATAAACCTGTGATCTGAGACAGCTTGAAAAAGCTGCTGCCCAACAAGTATTTTCTAATCTAGGATTTCCTGGAGGCAGTGACTTCCCTATTCTTGCTTCCAGTCACAGAAGAGTCTGGAAATGGTCAAGTAGCTTTATATACCTGCATTTTTTTCTCTTGTTCATTTTCTCCTATCATTCCAGTGCCTGCTACACTTTCACTTCCATCAATCGACACCTAGAAATAGGGGAATAAAATAAACTTTAAATTTACATTTTGGGAATCACTTAGGCTAGGTGATAAGTACATGGAAATTCATTATCATCTTATTTTTGTGCACAATTGATAATTTCCCTGAAACAATGTAAAGAAGCCTTTTGAAATATATGACATATTAAGTGGCATCAAAAATGTTTTGGAAAAACGGAATGGAAAGACAACTAAATTTTTCCACAAGCCTTTTGAAGTTCTCTCGAATGTTCAAAGCAGAGGAAAACATTAGCTCTTTTGACATAAAACTTATTTGAAACTTTTTATTTTAACTGCTTCCAATCTCTTAATTTTTACTTCTTAATTCATAAGCAGTTCCATCTATACTATTTCTTTTATGGAACTCATTGGCTATTTCTTTTTTGAGAACTACACCCATTTGATTCACTATCATTTGCTATCCTATTCCCTTATGTTTCTTCCAATTTCTTTCTACACTTATTATTTTTTTAAAAAACAGAAATACTGATCTTCTCTTTGATGCTCTCTGGCTTTGACCTTGACTTGCTAGTTTCTTATTTGTTAAAGTATATATTTTTCTTTTCATTTAATGAAAACTAAAGCAGCTATACTTGGGATGTCTTGCTAAGATAAGACACTTACCTTGGCTGCATACTGTTCCAAAGCACTGATGGTGTCAGGGTCAATGGTTGCATCCCCAGTGTGCAGACCTGCCACTGTGCCATCAGCCTGAATTGCTAAGATGGTGTCAGACTGTGGGACTTGCACTGCGTGATGGATGTAAGCTGTGGTGCCGTCCTCCAGCTGAACCGCTTGCAACGCACTCTGGTCATAAGTCTCTGAGGGAATAGAAGGGACTGGAATTTAATTTAAGTTCAAGTCTGATAAATGGTTACATATTTAAAAGAAGAGGAGAGTCAACTTCTATTGTGTGCCTCCTATGAGAACTGGGTAATATGCTTTATGTGTTATTTCACTTAACCCACACAATAATCATGTGAGGTGGGTATATCTGTATCACCCTGATGGTACACATACAGACACTAAGGTCTGGGGAAGTTAAGAAACTTTTCTTAGAAATCAGGACATCAAAAAGCAAACAATTATATACATCAGAATTTTTCATAAAAAAAAAGCAAACAATTAACAGTCAAAATTAGTATGGAGAGACACTAGGATTTGAACTCAGATCAATACGACTTGAAAGTCCATATTTTTTCTCCCTCTAAATAACTATACCATACAGTTGTAGTACAACAGTAGTTTTGTTATTGTTAAGTGCTGTTGAGTCTGTTTTGACTCACAGGGACACAGTATAGGGTTTCCAAGGAGTGGCTGGTGAGTTTGAACTGCCGACCTTTGTGGTTCAAACTGACCTTGCAGTCCTGCACTTATCCTACAGCACCACACCAGTAAAAGAGTATAAGTGTTATATAATGACGTTGTTGTTGTTGTTGTTAAATGCCGTCAAGTCAGTTTCAATTCATAGTGACCCGGTATAAGGTTTCCAAGGAATGGCTGGTAAGTTTGAACCGCTGACCTTGTGGTTCAAACTGACCTTGTGGTCCAGTGCTTTATACCACAGCTCCACACCAGGACTCCATAATGACATTATCAGATAATAAATCTAGTCAATTACAATAAACATTACAACATCAACTGTTAAAGAAAAAAGTGTTCATAATTTATATAAACAATGATTCTAAAATGTTATGTCGTTCTATAATAGTTTATAAATAATAACCTCCTCCCCTAAAACAATTCAAATCTATTGCCATCAAGTCAATTCCAAAAGTAATGACATTTAATATCTACTGAGCATTTACTAAGTGACATGCACTGTTTTAAGTGATTTACATGTTTCATCTTTGTCGTCATAACGATTGTATGATGTGGATACTTACTATAATCCTTATTTTATAGATGATCAAACTGAAGTACAAGGAGGTTAAGTAATTTGCTCAAAGGTCACACAGCTAAAAAACAGCTGACAAAGGAGCTGAACCCAGCTAATTTGGCTACAGAAAAGCTTTCCACTCCTATGCAATCCATTTGAAATCCCTGGTTCTTCCCACACAGGTTTATAAACATTAACACGTTGCTGTGTTTCCTTCAAGGAGCCCAGGTGGTACAGTGGGTTAAGCAATAAGCTGCTAACTGCAAAGTTGGTGGTTCAAACCCTCCAGCTACTCTGAGGTGAGGGAGAAAGATGAGGTTATCTGCTCCTGTGAAGATTTACAGTCTCGGATACTCTATAGAACAGTTCTACTCTGCAGTATGGGGTTGCTATGAGTTGGAATCACCTCGATGGCAATGCGTTTGGGTTTGGATATTTGCTTCAAATATTAAATTTTAGTTCATTTCAATTATACATAAACATAATAGGCAAAGAACCCTTACTAAAGAAGTGATGAGAGGAAGAAAAAAAAAATTCAGCTCTCAAATTTCAAATTTCATATTTTAAAAGTAGCCTCTATTGAAAATCTTACCAGAACTCTAGGCTTGCTGTTCCAACCTGTTATTGGAATGGATAGCTCAAATTGTTAGAAAGTTTTTCTTGAAACTGTGCCCAAATCTGTCACCTTCAGAGAATAAGTACAATTTTTCTTTTACATGATAACTCATCAGCGGCTTAAGGTAGGTCTCATTTTTCCCACACTGTCACTTCTTTAGCTTTATTTCATATTTCCAGTCATTTTTACCTTTGGAGGTATGATGAATAAATGCTGTAGTCCCATCTTCTAACTGTACTGCTTGACCATCCTCTAGACGCAAACTGTCCCCTGCTCAAGAAGAATGCTTACATTTAGATACCACGTTTTCTAACAAAGCCAATAAACCATTAAACACCTTTTTATCAACCTATACTTAGTCTTATTGGTTCTTGAACACTTAAGTATTTTCACTAAAGTTGATCTAAGGACTTAAAGATAAAAAACAAACAGAAAACCACCTTGGATACGTATTTTAGAAGTACATATCAGGGGTGGTAAGAGTTGAAAGATGAAAAGAAAGAAATGAGAGAAGTTGTTTAAAATTCAGCAGGAATATTAGGGAATTTCATTAAGGACTTTTGCTCATTTATCTTGAGAGTGCAATCTGATAACTTATTTTCTTTTCTCTTTGAGACAAAATTTCAATTATGTTAAATGGTCTTGAGCTCTTTGACATCTATTGCTCTCTTTTTTCAGAAGAAGGATTAGAGTTCAGGACTAAGTTTAGACAGTACAGGGAGCTGGAGGCAGCTGATACTGAAGTATGATAATAAAGAGGGTTTCCTGTGTTAATTCTTAAATACTTACTACTTTTTGGTATAGGTACATGTTGAACATAGGCAGCAGAGCCATCCTCCAATTGAATGACTTGACCATCTATGAGTTTTCCATCTGAAATACAAGATTCAATCCAGTAAATAAGTACAAACAAACATTTTAAACTTTATACAATTTCAAATGATATCAACTATAAAAACATACACTACTTAAGATCATGTTCATCTTGATTCTTCCCTGAACGTTCTGAGGCAATTCAATAACACTTCCAGTGATCCTATAGAAAGCAGAAAATCCTCCCTCAGCCATTCTTCCTCCCCTCCAATTTTAAACTTAGTTGAGTTCAAGAGGAAGAGTGGCTCACCACAGCAGGCTGCAGGAGTGGCAATGCTAGATAACTTTCAGAGTTCCTGAGGAATAGTGATCCTGACCATGGGAAGCTAAAGCTGGGAAGACACACAGGCATGTGAGGCCAACTATCATTCTCACCTATGGGGGGCTCTAAGACCTTTCTCTGTGTACACAGGTGCTCAGTAGGTTTCCATATAAAGCAAGGAGTTTGAGAACAAAGCTATTTCTTGGAGCAAAGCAAACACTGATTCAGAGAAAATGCTACAAAAGCAAACTCAGAGGTCTTTATTCATACGTATTTTACAAAAACATTAAACAGTAACCTAAAGTAAAATAGCAGGAAAGGCCTCATCAGAAATAGATTGAAGACAATGCCCCAGAAATGCATTCCTAGGCTAATGCTGATACTCTTCAAATATCTCATAGGGTCTATCTAAACAAGCAAAACAAAATTTAAGTTAAATGGAAATGATTATAAATGGCATGCTATAAAACATGTTTAGGAGGAACTGGAAGGGTCTATAGTACTCTAACTCTGAGGTTACAAATCACTGGTGTTAACCCATAAGCTGTATGTCAGGCACATACCTTTAGAATTGTGTTGTATGTAAGCAGTAGAACCATCTGCAAGTGTCACTGCTTGCAAGCTTACACCTTCCATATTTTCTAAATTGTCACCATCTATTTAAAAAAAATTATTTCTTTTAGATACCCATCATATGTGTATGCTGATTAGATTGCTAAACAAAAATTTTTAATGAGAAATAGACAAAAGACAAAGTCTAACTTACATTCAAAGAGCGTTTCTTTTAGAATTAGGTATATATATAGATACTGCCCTACTGTACTCACATCCACACCAAGGTAAAAATGCACACAGAAATGGTTAGGTTTATATTAAAGTAAGAGCAATGAAATAAAGACAGTATCGCAATTTTCATTTTCCCTTAAGATAAATGGTATTTCCAGATTCACATGGTCTTACTTTTAACAAAGATTGCTCACCTGCCACAGTTACTGCCTCTGTTAGGCACAGGGTCACGTGTTGAGCCTCCATTCCTCCTCCAGGAAACTCTGTCATTCCCTGAGAATCTCGATTTATTTGGGCTAACAACATTTTCTACCTTGAAGAAAAGTACATGCACTTGAGAACAAAGAATGATGCATACAAAGTAACAGTTACAAAGAATTTTTATGAACCACTAATTGCTAAGGAAGTAAGCAGGATTTGAAATAAGTCCAAAGTTTACTTCGTATACAAAGTAATAGTACTAATCCAAAATTCAAGTCACACTTTTCATAATTCAATAGTAAATGATTGCGCATACTGATAAATCTTGCCTATTGGTTTCATACCATGTCTCAAAGTCCCACAAGTAGAGTTCTTTGGGTTTAACATGGTTCAAGATTCCCATATATTATCCAATAACAAATCATGTTGACTTAGTCTTCAAAAATGTATTCTCAACCTGGCTTTTCACAACCTTCACCATCCCTTCCCTTATCCAAGGCACCATCCCATCGTTTCTCACTTGCATTCCTGCAAAAGCGTTCTAACTGGTCTCCCCAAGTATCCTTAAAAGACAGCAAAGTGTCTTTTTGAAGTGAGCAGCTAGATCACATCTCTCGACTCCTTAATAAACTTTTGATAAGCTCTCATCAGAAAAGCCAACAGTTCTTACATTGGCCTATCACGTCAATGACCTTACCTCTCATTCCATCTTACACTCATTTCACTTCAGCCACACTGGGATCCTTACTTTTCTTCAAACATACCAAGCATTTTGCTACCTCATAACCTTTGTATTTGATGCTCCTTCTACCTGAAATGTACTGCTCAGTATCTTCATGGTTTATTCCTTTACCTTCAGATCTTTCTTCAAAAATCACCTTAATGAGGACTTCCTTGTCTATCAATTTCAAACTACACTTCCCAACTCTCAACTCTGGTACTCCTTCTCCCTCCCCGCTTCCCAGCTTTATATTTCTTCATAGTCCTTATTATTTAGTCCTTATTATTTGACATGTCACATATATTTGTGTCACGTCAAATAATAAGGCTGAAGTGAATGTGTTTGTTATGTTTCCCCCCCTACTCTAGTATGGGCACTGAGTGGCTCCATATGATAAGCACTGGACTGTGAGCAACACGGTCTACAGTTCAAGCCTGCCAGTCACCATGAGTTGAAACTGACTTGAGGGCACTTAACAACTCTAGTATGGACAAGGATTTTTACATTTGCTCACTGTTAATTTTGTTGCTGTTGTTTTTAAGTGCAGTTGAGCCGGTTCCAACTCATAGCGACCCTGTATAGGGTTTCCTAGGAGCGGCTGGTGAGTTTCAACCGCCGACCTTGCTGTTCAAACTGACCTTGCGGTCCAGTGCTTATCCTACAGCACTACATTGCTGACTCTTGTTGTTGTTAAGTGCCGTCGAATCGATCCCGACCCATAGCGACCCTTTATAGGATTTCTGAGGAGCAGCTGGTGAGCTTGAACCGCCCACCTTGCAGTTCAAACGGCTTTGCAGTCTGGCGTATTAACCCATAGGGCCACACAAGGACTCCACACTGCTGACTCTAGTACCTAGAAAAGTGTTTGGCATGGAGTAGGCACACAATGGATGTTGAATGAATGGCTGAATGTATACCTTTTTTTATCAATACCACCACAAACTCTTCCTCTTCTCCAACTTCCAGTTCCCTTTTACACTGTGGGCGTTGCACTGCCTCAAATAGGACAACTTAAGTTGCCTGAACAAGGGAACTAAACCAGAGGATTTCTTGAGGACCTCCCCAGGTCTAAGATTTTAGTGTCAATATTTTAAATAGTGACATGCAGATACTAGTAATAATTTGAAGTTTTATTATGTTTAGTATTGCTTAAAGATTCTTCTTTTAGAAACACTGTAAACAGTACCCTCTTTGAAACCAAAGGTTTACTGAGGGACTGTGGTTCAGATTCACAGAAAGGTACCAGTGCTGTGATAAGTCAGTGCAAAGCTGACTTTTCAGAGAATCCTGAAAGAGCCATATTCTCTACTTGTTGACAGAGCAAGATGAAACATGTACAAACTAACAGGAGGATTAATACTTCCTTGCCACCTCCAAAGACTAATACAGATACCGCAAAGTAACACCGGTACTCTGCTAAAACCTCGGTTGGGGATAGGACTGGAAGAGGCTAATACAGCGTCATCACTATATTACAGAAATAAGTTAGGGTATGGAGATGCAAAGGGGGAAAACCTATAAAGATGCGATAAGCAGTGATTTGTGCAGTATTCATCTAGGAAATACAAGGTCATTGGCATCATGATGTTAAGAAATGTCTGTGGTTTGACTGTGTTGGAGCATGTCTTTTTCACTCAATTATTCATACACCACAAAATAACTATAGCAACATGTAGTATTAACAGTAACTGACATGGTAATGCACAAAGGACAAATTCTCTCTTTTGAAAGCTGGTAACGGTTCAATTTCCTTAGGAAAGCTTCAATAACTATGGTTTCCATTTTAGTGAAAAATCTCATCTAACTGAAAGTAGTGCAGGTAATTTTTCTAGACACAAACTGCCAGCAAATACAAGGCTTAGTAAAGGTAGAAAGAACTGAGAAGAGTTCAAATGAAGACTGTAATGATCAGAGATGATAAATGATAGCAGGTGTACCGTTCATTTTATTTTTAAAGTTTTCAAAAGACTCTATGACACAATTAATGCCCTTGTTAGAAAATGATCAAAAGGGGAAAATATGATGGTGAAGGAAAGGTCCAGATAAGCCAGAGATCAAACAGCCTACAGTTGCTCATATCATGTTCATTCTCATGGCTTGATCATTTTTGTCACCAACATTCTCAGGTGGTATGGAAATGACCGTACAAGATCAACCTGACAGCATTAGGAAGAATCACTTTATGAAAGATAGTCAATTTCATGTGCTTTAATAACAAGCTATGGACCAAAAGCAGACACACAGGAGGCTGTCATTAAGCATTTCAGCAACTGTCAATGAAGAAATATGTGTATGATAAAGTTCCTGCCTTCCTGAATGATGATGATGTTTGTTAGGAAAAGGAAAGAATAAGAGACATACACTACAGAAATGTAGCAAATCTGACATGATTTTGCAGCAGATTATTTATGAAATAGAGATTTTGCAAAGGAACAACAGTCTGCTAAATAACTAGAGCTAAGATGTTAAATGGAATTGAAAAGAGATTGTAATGCAAACTAAGGAATGTTTGTTGCTTCATTGAATTCCTCACAAATCTCCCAGTAATACGCAAAAGAAGCAGAGGTACCATTTGATGACTCACTCAATTTAACTACCTGCGTACTGGACCCTATCTCCTCTTGTCTACTTAAGGATTTTGCTTCTGCAATTATATCGTCACTAAGCAGCAGTGACTATGTACTGAAATAAAGTATGTGTTTAACCTAATAATTTCTAAAGGAAGAGAGAGAGAAAGACAAATAACATCACCGTTATGGGATAATGGCACACAGGGCTGCTATGAGTGGGACCTGACTTGACAGCACCCAACAACCACCACTGTATGAAATTTAAATCAGTGCAATACATCACTATGACCTATCTGTCAAATTCATTCACTGTTCTCAGCCGAATGTCTTAATTCAGGCTACCATCGTCTACAGGGAGCACTGTAGCACTGTAGGATAAGCACTGAACTGCTAACCCTAAGGTCTGTGGTTCAAACCCACCAGCCGTTCTTCAGAAAGCTTAAACAGGGTCGCTCTAAGTCAGAACAAACTCTACAGCACTAAACAAACACTGCCAAAGCATCCACAGGTGATGCAAGTGGTTTACAACTGGTTGCTAACTTGAAGGTTGGTTGCAGCAGAAGTTTAAGATGTATGGAAAAAAAGTGTTTTCAAATAGCTTGCTTTATATGAAGGTCTCTCAGTCTAAATCCACCTAAAACCAAAATGATCTTGATTGATGGTACAATAAAGCCTAAATTATTTTCTTACATAGGTTTTCAAGCACAGAAAGGAGGAATACCTCTTTAATAAATCATTATACCCTGGAAATAAAGTCAAGAGTTCAAAAATTCAGACCTAGATAAAAACTCGATTAAAAAAATAAAATCTAGATGAAACCATAAAACTAAGTAACTTTGTTGTAGTTAAGTGCAGTTACTCATAGTGATCTGCATAGGGTTTTTGAGAAGTTGGCTGGTGGGTTTGAACTGCCAACCTGGCAATTTTGTGGTCCTATTATTATCCTGTAGGGCCACATCAAGACTCCTAATCTTAGAACTATGATAAATTCTCCTCACAGCTTTATAAACTGAATACACATTATAAATAAATACATAACTACTACTAAAGGTGGCAATGCAGATCAGGCGTTGGGCTGCTAATCTCAAGATCAGTAGTTCAAACCCACTAACCCCTCTATAGGAGAAAGATGAAGCTATCTGTTCTTGTAACGATTTACAGTCTTAGAAACCTTATACAGGGTCACTATGAGTCGGAATCAACTCAGTGGCAGTGGGTAAAGTAATAGTAGAGGCACAATTCCCCAATCAAGTTAGGTCATCTTTTCTTGAAGAATATGATGAACCCTTACTCCACAGCAGTATCTCAATGTGAAGCAAGAGGTATGGACATTTTGCAAATCATATTATCTGTTAAGGAACTTGTTATCTAGAATATATAAAGAACTCTTGAATTTAATAATTAAAAACCTGGCAAAGGAGCTGAACATACATCTCCTTAAAGAAGATATACAAATGACCAATAAGTACATGTTAAAAATACTCAACATAATTTTTCTCTTGCAGAGTGGCTGAAGGATTTGAATTGCCAACCTTCTGGTTGAGAATCCAGTGCTTATCCTATAGTGCTTGCTACCAAAGAAGTGTAAATCAAAACCACAATGAGATAACATTTTATTTCTACTAGGATGGAGTCCAAGTAGCTCCAGTTGGGGGGTGGGGTAGTGCATTACATATTGTGCTAACTGCAAGGTCAGCAGTTCAAATCCACTAGCTGTTCTAAAAGAGAAAAATGAGGCTTTCCATTGCTGTAAAGCTTTAAAAGCCTTGGAAACAATAAAGAGATTTGAGTCTAAAGCAACTATGAATCAGAACCAACTCG